TTTTTTGTAATTGAAGATGGACAGAATAACTTTATTTTATTTGTTTATTTTTATGTGGTGCTGAGGATCGAACCCAGTGCCTCATGCATGCTAGGCAAGTGCTCTGCCACTCAGCTATAGCCCTAGCCCCCAAAATTAATTCTTAAAGGTCTACTCAAGAAAATTTTGGATTTATATATACTGCTGTAAGATGAAAAGATGGGTGTATAAGACAGGGGATATGACTATGATATAGTTCTTGCGCAGCATGCACAAGGCCCAGCACTGCAAAAATAAATAAATAAATAAATAAAGTCAGTGTATAATTAATCTGATGAAAGAAAATAGTGAAAGAAATAGGAGAGGTAGAGGTACAAATCAGGCCAACATAGATGACAGTTTTAGTGTTAATCCTTATGTAAGAAAAGAAGGGAAAATGGTACAAAGTTATTTGTTGAAATTGTTCAGAAAGCCATGAACTAGAGAAAAAATAAACAGCTTAGTTAGGGAGAATGTTATGCATTATAATTGAATATAAAACTAACTACCTCTGTTTTAATCTAAACATTTCATATGAAATTTATAAGAAAATGTATTTCAAGAGACAAAGAATCTATAATAATGCAAATCATTTTTCTTGAGTATTATGATTTTGAATAACTCCCAAAGTATGTAGTAATTGATGAAATGTTCACCATGTCTTACTATTTAAGAGCATTGGTCATTAAGTAAAATTTTATGCATTTATTTAGAATTCACATTAGAATAACCATCAATTGCTTCTGTAAACTCAGGATTTTGAAATATATCATTAGAACAGAGTAGTGCTTTTTGAAGTTGTGATGGATAAGCAGCTGGAAGACTTCTGACAAGTCAGAATCATCCCATAGACACATCCTCTCTGTGACACATGCACTGCTGAGGTACCAGATTTGGGTCTCAAACATTGAGACATATACTTGGCATTTTCACCATCTTCTTATTTTGACATTGTGTCTGGGAGACCTGGAGTACACCTGCTGTAAAAGGAGCTATGAATGTTTGCAATATAAGCACCAAAAAACATAAGTGTAGGAAACATTTAGGGTCTCAGTAGTCTGAGAATACCACCTCATCAGTTAGAGGTTTTCATGTTAGTAAGTAAACTAAGGCAACAGTATGATATTACCACTTCCAGTGGATCTCATTGTAAATTTGTGGCTACTCATTCAATACTTATAAATATGTATATGCACACACACACACACACACACACA